TTCAGACGAACCAGGCTAATTCTGTTACTGTCACTTTGATATTTGTTGAATGTCTATATTGAGTTCCTCTTGCTAGGGAACTATATTCCCCGCATCTCTCATTCTTGTTTGTTTTTTGAGTTTTTTTGTATATGCAAGATGCTCATTGCTGTTTAATATAACAAAAACCTGAAAACTCAAATATCTATCAATAGAGGATTAATTTTAAAAAAATTATAAATGATAATACAAACATACATTTGTTATTTAACTTTTTGTTATTTTTATTTTGTGGAGAAATATACATGATGCATTTAGTGGAAAAAATGCTTTCATTCATTTTTATGAAGTACTTATTTATCACCAGGCACGAGGCCTGCACCATCCAATACCACACATGGTTATTTACATTTAAATTACTTCAAATTCAAAAAAAGTAAAAATTCGGTTCTTTGATCACACTGGTCACACCTCCAGGCCTCCACAGGGATTGCTCCGTTACACCATGCGGGACAGTGAGGATTAGAGAACATTTCTACCATCACTGAAAGTTCTGGACACTGCCACGTGAGGCCGTCCTATTTCTGTTGTGCTTTAGACTGGACACAAGCCTTGAAATTCTTTCTTCTCGGGCTCAGCTTGCAGTCTGTTCTGACCTCCAGATCCTTTTTGATAATTTTAAGAGGCCTGTCATCTCTCTCCCAGGTGATCCGTCAGCTCATGAAGAAGGAATTCACCCTGGAGTTCTCCCGAGACAGAAAGTCCATGTCTGTCTACTGTTCCCCAGCCAAATCTTCCCGGGCTGCTGTGGGCAACAAGATGTTTGTCAAGGTCAGAAATAGGATTGTACCTCAGCCCTCTCTTCTTCCTAATCCTGGACCCTTCTCCTACCTGTGCTTTCTCTCTGCGCCCTGGAAGACAGGTGGGCGTCTCTGAATGCTGTCCTCGTCTCCCTCCCAGGGTGCACCCGAGGGAGTCATTGACCGCTGCAACTACGTGCGTGTTGGCACCACCCGGGTGCCGCTGACGGCGCCAGTGAAGGAGAAGATCATGTCGGTGATCAAGGAGTGGGGCACTGGCCGGGACACCCTGCGCTGCCTGGCGCTGGCCACCCGAGACACGCCCCCCAAGCGGGAGGAGATGGCTCTGGATGACTCTGCAAAGTTCATGGAGTACGAGGTGAGCTGATGGGACCCTCCTTTGTGCTGGAGCTGGCCAAGGGTCAGGTTTCCAATCGTCTGCCTCATACCCTCCACTACCTTGTCAGTTCCTACCTTGTCAGTCAAATCAACGGGTCCGTAGCAGAGGCCACAGGATCACAGGACATTAGAGTTTGAAGGAACCCTGGGAGTTGTCTAGTCCAGTGTGATCTGGGAGCCAGGCACGGTGGCGCATGCCAATAGTCCCAGGGACTCAGGAGGCGGAGGCAGGAGGATCACTCGAGCCCAGGAGTTTGGCGTTGCAGTGAGCTATGATTGAGCCACTGCACTCCAGCCTGGGTGACAGAGTAAGACCCATCTCTTAAAAAAAAAAAAAAAAAAGTGGTTTTTTTTTGTGTTTTTTGCCTCACCCCGTCAAAGACTGTGGACTAGTCTTTGACGGGGTGAGGCGTTTGCACCAGAACAGGAATTGACACACTGCAGGGCTTGGAGGACGTGCTTTCCACAGTGAGACTGCTCAATGCTGCTGGCCTGTGTTCTGGCGCAGCTCCTTACTTATGGGAGACTGACAGCACCAAAGTCCACTCCCTTAATTTTACAGAGGGAAGACAGGGTCCCAGCCGGTAACAGGGGATTTGCTCAAAGTTGTGGGCCAAGTGGTGGCACTGAAAGCAGAAACCACTGCCCTCACTGCCAGCTCGAAGTGTCTTTCTATGAAAGACATGATCTGGCCCTGTGATGGGCCTGGCACCACCAGCCCCTGCAAGTACACAGATGAAAGAGAGAGACCTCTTGCTTCTTTGACACCAGGCCCTGAGGTTGAAGCCCAGGGCTGAGGCTCTCCCCACCTTCCCAATCTTTCACCCGATCCTATGCCACCAACTCCCTCCCTGACCTGTTGCTCCCTGCTGTCTCCTCAGACGGACCTGACCTTCGTTGGTGTGGTAGGCATGTTGGACCCCCCTCGAAAGGAGGTCACCGGCTCTATCCAGCTGTGCCGGGATGCTGGGATCCGAGTGATCATGATCACTGGGGACAACAAGGGCACAGCCATCGCCATCTGCCGACGCATTGGCATCTTTGGGGAGAACGAGGAGGTGACAGACCGGGCCTACACAGGCCGAGAGTTTGACGACCTGCCCCTGGCTGAGCAGCGGGAAGCCTGCCGACGTGCCTGCTGCTTCGCCCGCGTGGAGCCCGCACACAAGTCGAAGATCGTGGAGTTCCTGCAGTCCTACGATGAGATCACAGCCATGGTGAGACGCCCACGGGGCTGCGTGACCAGCATGGGGAGGGCGGGCCCAGGGGTGATGCATGGAGAGGAGATGGATTCAGACCCGGAGGATTCAGGCCCTGAGCCCCCCCACCTCCCCTAGACAGGCGATGGCGTCAACGATGCCCCTGCCCTGAAGAAGGCTGAGATCGGCATTGCCATGGGATCTGGCACTGCCGTGGCCAAGACCGCCTCTGAGATGGTGCTGGCCGATGACAACTTCTCTACCATCGTGGCTGCCGTGGAGGAGGGCCGCGCCATCTACAACAACATGAAGCAGTTCATCCGCTACCTCATCTCCTCCAACGTGGGCGAGGTGGTCTGGTGAGCGTCCAGGGCGGGCATCCCAGGGGAAGTGGGGGCTGGGTGGGAGGGTGGCCATAGGTCTGGGAGGCAGGACAGACGTGCAACCACCTCCTTCCGGCAGCATCTTCCTGACAGCCGCCCTGGGGCTGCCCGAGGCCCTGATCCCTGTGCAGCTGCTGTGGGTAAACTTGGTGACCGATGGGCTCCCTGCCACCGCCCTGGGCTTCAACCCACCAGACTTGGACATCATGGACCGGCCCCCCCGGAGCCCCAAGGAGCCCCTCATCAGTGGCTGGCTCTTCTTCCGCTACATGGCAATTGGGGGTGAGCAAGATGGCACCCCACAATCCTTCCCAGCCTTTGGGACTGACCTCCTCTCTGAGACACCAGCTCTCTGCATGTAGCCACCTCGATGGGTCCCCTTCCACCAGTTTTCTGTCTATGGCTGTGCGAGGCCCCCTGAATGTCTCCCACCTCCCCAGCCCTGACCCCCGACTCCCTTCTCCCTGCCGCAGGGTATGTGGGTGCAGCCACTGTGGGAGCAGCTGCCTGGTGGTTCCTGTATGCAGAGGACGGGCCTCAAGTCAGCTACAGCCAGCTGGTAGGGGGAAGACGGAGAGGCAGGGACCAGGGGTGTGGCGTGGGGGCGTCTCTGGGCTCTCAGACTCCCGTCCCTTCCCCTGCAGACTCACTTCATGCAGTGCACGGAGCACAACCCTGACTTTGAGGGTGTGGACTGTGAGATCTTTGAGGCCCCCGAACCCATGACCATGGCCTTGTCCGTGCTGGTGACCATCGAGATGTGCAATGCGCTCAACAGGTGGGCCCGCCCACCCTCTCTGGCTGCCATCCTGAGGCCTGTCCTCGCCCTGGCCTGCCTCCCTCCAACCCCTTCTCTGTCTTTGTCCTGTGTCTCCTGCCCACTGCCTGCAGCCTGTCTGAGAACCAGTCCCTGCTGCGCATGCCGCCCTGGGTCAACATCTGGCTGATGGGCTCCATCTGCCTCTCCATGTCCCTCCACTTCCTCATCCTCTACGTCGACCCCCTGCCGGTGAGCCTCCCCCAGTCCCTGGCCCCCACTAAGGAGCGCCTGTAGGGGCTGTGACCAGTACCACTGGAGGTGCGGACAGGGAGGAAGGTGGGACCCAGCTGGACAGGGCGGCTGGCTCCTGTCCTTCCTCATGCCCTGCCCCACTCCCACCCCCAGATGATCTTCAAGCTCCGGGCCCTGGACACCACCCAGTGGCTCATGGTCCTCAAGATATCACTTCCTGTCATCGGGCTTGATGAAATCCTCAAGTTCGTTGCTCGGAACTACCTGGAGGGTAAGGAGCGCGCCTCCCTGCCCCTGTGGGCCCGGCCCCCACACAGCCCCCGCCCTCTGCGCTGCGAAGCGCCCGCCCCACCCTCTTCCTTTTCAGGTGGGTAAGTTCTCCTGGGCTCGGCAGGACCAGCGTCCACCAGGAGGGAGCCCCATCCCCTTCCCCCTCCCTCCGTGTCCGGGGGGGGGCCACCTCCTCAGCCCTCTGCCCCCACGCTGCCTCCCCTCCTTGACAACAGTGTCTCTTGTGCTCTCTGGCCTTAGGATAACCGTTCCCCCTCCTCCAACTCTTTGAACCCGTGTCACAGGTATCGCCCCCCTTCTTGCCCTCACCCCAGCTGCTGTGTCCCAGCTACTCTGCCCCTGCCGCATCAAGATCACTTGCGCTCGCGGCTCCACCCAGAGCCACTGCCGCTGCTGCCACTGCCGCGCTGCGCGCTTCCAACCGGGGTGGGCCTCGCCCACTCCCAGACGCCCGCCCGGCAGTGCCAGGCCTCTGGGCGCCAGTGTCTGCCGTGCTGCGCTGCGCCGCGCTGGCTGGGCTGTCTCTGCTGCTGGGGCTGCGGGGTGGGAGGCAGGGTCTGGGGACACAGGTGAGTAGGGGAGAATGGGACTAGGGTGACCCCGCAGCTGGCCAGGTGAGCGTGCCGGGGACGCAGCTGGGGAGGACGTCTCTACCTCCCGCCCACCCTGCAGACTGCTTCATCCCTCTCTTTCTCCTTCCAGATCCAGAAGATGAAAGGAGGAAGTAACCATCCTTTTGCCCCATCTTCCCCACCCCCTAGTGACGCATCTTCAGCCAGAGCTGTGGCACAGAACCCCCCTCTCCCCTGAAGTGTTTCTGTTTATAAACACAATGTCCCTTCTCTTCTCCTTCCCTCTTAGCAACCAACCCTCCCCTTCACCCGTGTAAATCCCCCCTTCCCGACCCTGAGGGGCTTGCAGGGACAAGGCGACCGACTGAGCTGAGCTGCTTATTTATTGAAAATAAATGACAGAAAAGTCTGGCCTTGCCTCTGTGCTCATCTTGAAGCCTGGGTCGAGCCCCTGTGGACAGGCGTCTTAATGTCATGCAGACCAGAGAGCAGCTGCCTGTCCCGGGGCCCAGTACAAGGGCCCCACTGACACAGGGCGGAGGCTCCCAGCCTCCACGGGCCGGCTGTGCGGGAGCAGGGGACGCTGCTGCAGAGGCTGGGAGCTGGCTGGGAGTGGTGGCACAGCAGCCAGAAAGCCGCAGGGCTGAGCCTGCACCTTTGGTTCTGGGAGGGGGTTGGGACCCTCACCCGGGTGTCATCCCTGAGAGCAGGAGGCCCAGCCACCCCTGGGAGCAGATGCTGGAGGAGCAGGACAGTAGCAGCCCTGTCACCTCAACCCCCGGCTTGGAGAGGGTGAAGACTCCACCCGAGACCCCCGAAGCCCGGGCCTCAGGGTGCGGGGGTGCAGAAGAGAGTCCTCCCCGGGTGGGGGTGGTCCTCGCCCTGGCCTCTCAGGTATCCCTGATGTCCCTGACGTCCTTCGGGGGCGCCTCGTCGAGGATGCCGTGCACCTGCTCCAGAGTCTCCGCCTGGCGGATCCGCTCCAGGCGCACCTGCGAGTCGGGTGGGGAAGCAGAGGCTCCCGGTGGTGACACGCAGCCTCGACCCCACCGCCAGCCCTCTGTGGTGGCCGCCCACCTTCCCCGACTCGTGAAACCAAGGACAAGGAAAGGGCCCAGTGAGAGCAGCCTGAGCAGGTCAGGGGGTGGAGGGGCTAACGCCAGGAACGCACCGCTCACCCATACATCGGCCCGCACGAAGGGCTTCACGTGACAGGCCAAGAGGCGCACAAAAAAGCTTCAGTGTTTTTGGAGCAATAGCTCAGAGAGAAGGACCATGTCGGTCCCAGGAGGAAGGGACTCCTCCAGTTGGGGGACTGTGCTTGCAAGTCAGCCAGCCTGCTGGGGCAGGGGACACGCCATACCTGTAGGGCCTGGGACAGTCGCACAAAGTCCCTCTGCACCTGTTCGCTGGTTTCCAGCTCTGCCTGCAGCCGCATCACCTTGACCCTCTGTTCCAAGAGGTCTGGGGGCTGGGCCTGGGGGACAGGACACCGAGGCAGGCTGGCTCAGCCCTGGGCCAGACAGGGGCGGGGCTGTGTGTGGCCAAAGCAACAGGAGGTCTGGACAGGGCTGCCCCTTCTACACCTCCTCTGCCTGGCAAGAGGCTGGCGGCTGCCCCAGGCCTCCCTGCCACTTGGCTTTAGGGAGACATAAAGTACGGGAGGGGCTGGTGAGGGTCTTCCCTGCACAGCAGCCCTGTCCCCAGTGGCCTGGCCCACCCCAGCTCAGCCTCACCTTGCTCTGTTCCTGCTGGATCCGCTCCATCTCTGTCCTCAGGCTGCACAGGGAGGCTGGGAAGTCAGGCCAGGGCCAGACGTCACGTCAGGCCCACACACTCTCTCCTCCACCCGCCCCAGCCCTGGGAGGATGTCAGTCCAGACTCACCCTCCAGCACCTCTGTGTGGGAAGGAAAGAAGGAGAGGTCACGGCCAGGGCTCCTGCCACCTCCTCTCCCCTCCCGTGCCCGTGATGGGCCCAGGCGGTCCCCACAGGGAGGTCGGGTGCCCTCACCTGTCTCCTCCCGCTGCACCCTCAGCTGCCCCTCCAGGCTGGCCCTGGCGGCCGTCTCCTCCTCCAGCGCCTCCCGCAGCGTCACAATCTCAATCCGCAGGCGCTCGGCCCCGTGCTCCTGCGCCTGCTGCCGGGCCCGCGCCTCCTGCCGCGTGCGGCGCACCAGCAGCTGCAGCTCCTGGAAGGCACTGGAGTCACCTGCTGCGCTGGGCAAGGGGCAGGAGGGCAGGGGCCAGGGGCCCTCCAGCCAGATGGAGATTGCGGGGAGGAAGGGAAAGAAAGGAAATGGCTAAAAAGGGGAAGAGCCCAGATGCCCACGGTCGGGAAGACGGAGAACGCTCTGCGGTACGGCAGAAGTACATGAGCCACAGTGCCCGTGTGGTGACACTGGGAATGGTGCTGAGTGAAAGTTCCAGAAGACTACCTAGAGCAAGATACCCTCTTGCAAAGCCCCAACAACTCAAGTTAAGCAGCACTCCGTTGTTTATCTAGGAACACTACGCCAAGGGAGAACAGGAATGCCCAGCACAGCCCAGGAAACACGGGGTGGGGTGCTCAGCAGCAGATGCCAGCTGCAGTTCTCAGAGTGGGGGGTCCTGGGTGATCATTACGATTTCTTTTCTTTCTTTTGAGACAGAGTCTAGCTCTGTCACCTTAGCTAGAGTGCCATGGCATCATCATAGCTCCCAGCAACCTGAAACTCCTGGGTTCAAGAGACCCTCCTGCCTCAGCCTCCCGAGTAGCTGGGACTACAGGTGTTCACCACCATGCCCAGCTGATTTTTCTTTTCTTTCCTTTCCTTTCTTTCCTTTTCTTTTTTTTGAGACAACAGTCTCACTCTATTGCTGGGCTAGAGTGCCGTGGCGTCAGCCTAGCTCACAGCAATCTCAAACTCCTGGGCTCAAGTGATCCTGCTGCCTCAGCCTCCCGAGTAGCTGGGACTACAGGCATGCGCCACCATGCCCGGCTAATTTTTTCTATATATTTTAGTTGGCCAATTAATTTCTATTTTTTTTTTTTTTTTAGTAGAGATGGGGTCTTGCTCTTGCTCAGGCTGGTCTCCAACTCCTGAGCTCAAGCAATCCTCCTACCTCAGCCTCCCAGAGTGCTGGGATTATAGGCATGAGCCACCACATCCGGCCTATAATTTCTAATATGTTAACTTATTAATAAAACACAATATTGATAAAGTCAACAGAGGCCATGCATAGGTCAATGACAACAGGTTGCTATGAACCAAAAATGACAATGGATTCAATATTTTGGATCTCATGTCACTTCAAAAGAGCAAGCAGACCAGATTGCCGCTTCCTTTGGGTCAAGCATTCTGTCAGCTCACGTTCCCTTCATGCCAATGCTGGGAAGCGTATAAGGCCCCATTTTTCAGATGAGGAAACTGAGCCTTCAAGAAGTCAAATGAGTAGGCCAAGCTAACAAACAGCAGCCTGGGGCTGCTCCCAGCCCTGTGGTCCTGGCCAATGCCTGGCTTTGCCCAGGAACAGGGGCCCTCACGGGCACGCCGGCTCTGAGGGCCCACACCCCACTTACAGGCACCAGGCTAGGCAGCGGCTCCCCCTCGCCGTCGTCCTGCTCCAGGCCCTGGGGAGCTGAGGATGGTGGCTGCTCTGCCCGGAGCCCTTGGTTTTCCTCATTCAGCCGCTTTACCTCGTGGTGCAGGCACTTGTGGGAGGTGACCAGCTCTGCCTGGGGCCGACAGTAAATACAAGGCAACGAGGGTGACATGGCATCTCCTGTCCTTGTGAAGCCAAACCCTGAACCCTCCTCCTTCTGGACTGACAGCCAGAAAGCCATGCCCCCGTGGCACCGGAGACAGGAAGGAGCATCCTTCACTGAGCGCTTCTGCCTGCCAAGCTCCTTAGGCACCCCCTGCTGACTTCAGGGTCACACACTGGCCGCCAGAGCCCAGCCCGGCTATTTTATTTGGCCCATGTTATTTTCAAGCCTTAAAGTAGCTGCCAACTTTTAAAGGTGGGAGACAATACACAAATATCCAGATTCTAGTTTCTCTTGAAAAATCAGAAAATCTGGCAGCATCGAGCCCAAGTTCCCAGGTGGCCCCAGTCAGTGGCGCCAAGGAGCAGCAGCCCCTGTGCGGGCCTCTCCTGCCAGGCTGCCTCCCCCTTCTTGTCCTACACCTGGCCAGACTCAATCACCTGCAACTCCTCTCCCATCTGGGTATCTGATTTGCTTTTGATCCTCACGACTCTACACACTAGGCCCATCCATTATCTCCATTTTACAGATGGGAAGGTGGAGGCTCTGAGTGTGTGGCATTAGCTCGTGATCACACAGTTCTTGTGATTGCAGGGCCTGTTCTGGCCATGGCGCCGGCTGCCCCTGAAACCCTCTTCCCTACCTGGCACCAAGTCCAGGATGAGGCCTGGGCAGCTGCAAGGACAGGTGCCTCAATTTCCCACATGCTCCAGCCAGCCCCCATCTGACCCCTTCCTCCCTCCCTGGCACTCACCATCTGCAGCTGGACCCGCTCCTGGGCTTGGCTCACCGTCCCCTGCAGGGTCCGCAGCAGCTGCTCTGAGTTCTGAACCTGGGCCAGGAGAAGCTGCACCTGTGTGAGGATGGAGGGCGAGAGTGAGGCCAGGGCGACCCCAGGAGGCGGCAGGCAGCCAGAGGCCCTGTGCAGGCTCGGGCAGAGGTGGGGACCCACCTGCTTGGCACAGTCCTCATTGCTCCGTCTCAGGCCCTCTTGCAGCTCATCCCGCTCACGGCTGACGCTCTCTAGGTCCTTCCGCAGCTGCTGCCCCTGCCACAGAACCTGACCTCAGTCTCGGTCTCCAAGGGGGAGGTCCTCCCTGCCCATCACAGCAGGCCCCGCCCTGTCTACCTCCAAGCAGATTCCAGATCCACCCACTACCTTCCACCTCTGCTGCCATCTCCCGGCGCCAGTCACAACCTCTGGCACTGTAGTCCCTGCCCCAGCACAGGCTGCCCCTACACACAGGCCCAAGTGAGCTTCCAAAAGCCTGGAGCTGGGCGGCCTCTCCCTGAGACGCTGCCCACTTCTCCTCCACGGCAGGCCCATGAGGCCCTGCTCATGTGGTCCCTGCCTTCTTCCTGGTCTCCGCTCTACTCCTTCCTCAGTGGTCTTCCTGTTCCTCAGATATGCTGTGGTCTATCCATCCTCAGGGCATTTGACCTTGCAGTAGTACTTTCTGCTCCTGATCTTTTTTTCCCTTCGAGACAGGGTCCTGCTCTGTTGCCTAGGTTGGAGTGCAGTGGTGCGATCACAGCTCACTGTGGCCTCTAGCTCCTGGGCTCACGTGGTCCTCCCACTTCAGCCTCCCGAGTAGCTGAGACTACAGCATGCACCACCATACCCAATTTCTTATTTTTATGTTTTTAGAGATGGGGTCCTGTTATGTTGCCCAGGTTGGTTTCTGAACTCCTGGCCTTAAGTGATCCTCCAGCTGCGGCCTCCCACAGTGCAGGGATTACAGGAATGAGCCGCCACGCCTGGCTCTGCCCCCAATCTTTAACAGAGTCTCCTTTGCGGGAGGGGGGGCATGGGCAATATACATAACCTTAACATTTGTACACCCATAATATGGTGAAATAAAAAAAAATAAATAAAAAAGGGATGTAGTAAAAAAAAAAAAAAAAAAAGTCTCCTTCTCACCACCCAGGTCTTGGCTCTAGCCTGAGCTCAGGTTGGCCTCACTCGTTGCCAGCCTCTACCCCATAACCCTATTCAATTTTGTTCTGAGCATGTCCCCATGGCACTGTCTTCCTTGTGCGTCCCCGTGCGTGTTTACGTGTGACTCCTTTCGCTAGGAGCAGCTGCTGCTCTTCTCCCCCACGGAAGCCGCAGCCCCGGCTCAGTGCCTGGGTGCGGGCGGCGCTCGGTACGTGTCAGCCACTCGACCACGCCACTCACCTCCACCTGCAGCTGCTCCCACTGGGTGTCTGGGACAAGCTGGTAGCCAGGAGGGGGCAGATAGATGCCTTCGGGGACCAGGGTACCCGTGGACACCAGAGAGGCTGTCTCTTCCTGCTCAGCGCTCAGGCCCTGGCGGCTGCGGGGCAGGGAGGCGCTGCTGCCGGCCCCGCCACCCAGGGAGAAGGAGGAGATGGAGGCACTGTCGTCGCAGTTGTGGGCAAAGGCCTCGGCTGCTGCGCCCCCGTCGCCACTCAGCTCCTCCAGAGGCTCCAGCGGGGGCGACGGGTCCCGGGACAGGGGCAGCAACTCCGTGGAGCCATGCAGGGAAGCGGGCTGCTGGGGCTGTCTCTAGGGAAGAGGCAGGGAAGAGGCTGGGGGTCCGGGGTCCGGCAGGGCCCTCCTTCCCTCAGCACCCCCTGGCCGCCCCCTTACCTGCATCTCTTCGATCACCTCCTCCGCCCTCAGCAGTTTCGCCTTCAGCTCCCTGATCTCCTGCTCCATGGGCAGCACGATTTCCCGCAGCTTCTCTGAGTCCTCATGGGCCTGGAGGCGGGGGTGGGGGTTGGGGGTGGGCAGCAACAGTCCCCTGCCGCCCCTGCTGCTGGACCCCTTGGGTCTGTTCAGAGCTGCCTCCGCCCAGCACATCAGCTCGCCTAACCCTCCCATTTCAGAGATAAGAACACTGAGGCTCTGCAAGCTTACACGACTTGCCCCAGGGTGTAAGGTAAAGGGGCCAATGTCATGACTTCCTCCTGTGGCCCACTTACTCACCATGCCTTTCTTCCCCAACATCCATTTTTATTTTTGTTATAGAACCTCATATTTTCAGTTAGGCATGTGGCCTAAATTCTAGAATACTGTCCACATTTCTTAGCTTCCCTGCAACTAAACACAATCATCCGACTAAGTTCCAGCTAATGAGATGGAAGCAGATGTGCCAAGGGCCTCTTCCAGGACAACTCCATAAAGGAAGAGGGTGTGCCTTTCTTTACTCCTCCTTCTTTACTCTTCCTTCTTGTTAGCTGGAATGAGGACATGATGGCTGGCACTCAAGCAGTCATTTCAGACCATGAGGCAATCTGCTACCCATGGCAAAACAGCAATATAGGAGAAGCCTGGGTCCCTAATGACTTATTGAGCTGCTACACCAGTTCTGGAATATCTACCTCTGGACCGTTTTTTTCAGATAGAGTCTCACTCTGTTGTTGAGCCTAGAGTGGCATAGCATCAGCCTAGCTCACAGCAACCTCAAACTCCTGGGCTCAAGCAATCCTTCTGCCTCAGTGCCCAGCCCTCCAGAGTAGCTGGGACTACAGGCATGTGCCACTATGCCCGGCTGATTTTTTATGTATGTATTTTTTAGTTGTCCAGCTAATTTATTTCTATTTTTTTAGTAGAGACGGGGTCTCACTCTTGCTGAGGCTGGTCTCGAACTCCTGACCTCAAGCGATCCGCCCGCCTTGGCCTCCCAGAGTGCTAGGATTACAGGCGTGAGCCACTATGCTTGGCCTTTCTTTATAGATATGGGATCTCACTATGTTGCTCAGGCTTCCCTCAAACTCCTGACCTCAAGCAATCCTCCTGCCTCAGCCTCCCAAAGTGCTGGGATTACAGGCCTGAGCCACTGCACCTGGCCAACTGACCATTTTTTCCCATCTGTTTTCAAACTTGGGATCTTGCTGAATTTATGTAGCCTCTGGACAACTACACTTGGATGTCACATAGGTTCCTCTGAATTAACTCAGCCAAGACTGAACATCTCACTGAGGCTGTTCCTCCTGCCACTGCACTAGGTCAGCAGGAATGGCCCTGCCAGCCATTTGCTGTTCAAAGCAGAAATCTGCCTGTCATCCTTGTCTCTGTCACCACCTTCTTCCAGCTCATGCCATTTCCACCTCTTTAATCACTCAAAAACTTCCCAAACAAGCTCAACTCAACCCTCCAAATAAATCTGTTATATGAACAATTGCAACAGGCAGGGTGAGCCTGTGTGACCCAAACAAAACCCCTCCAACCCCATCTGGAAGCTTGGAACCTGTGCTGTGGACATCCTTGCACAGATGGGCAACGGCTGAGCACAGGGGTTGGCCAGGACACGAATCCGGCTGGCCACAGACTGGCTGCTTCACTGTGCCAGGTAGCTTTCGCTGGGCAGGGCTCTCTCCTTTACCACCCTGTGGAAGTGTCCCCTGAGGAACCCTCTGGATGCATGTGGCAACCTCTGCTGGGAAGCTGTGGGCTGAAAGCCTTCCTTTCTTGGGCTCCTGTTTTGATCCTTGTCTTTCTAAACGGGTCATTCATTCCATCTCCCTGAGCCTCGGTTTCTCCATCCACGAAATGAGAATATTCATTTTTCTTCGGGAGCCGGTGACCGGGCTTCAGCACTCAGACTGCAACCTCTAGGATATTAATTTTTAATTTATCTATCTTACAGGCTGCTGTGAGGATCAAATGAGGTGACGACATAAATTTGCTCTGAAGCATTGGATAACACGTACTTCCTGTTATTGTTCATGACAACAACAATAGTAACGGAGATTCTTTAATCACACAGATTAAGAACAAAATCTTTGGGACCAGCCTGCGTAGATTTTAAAATCCAAACTCTGCTCCTTTTTATGCGCCTAACTCAGGGAGAACTACTCACCTTCTCCGAGCCTCGCCTGACTCGTCTGTTAAATGGACATAATGGGCGTCCCTGCCTGGCAGGGATGGCTGGGGAGACTGACTGTGTTGAGAACTGAGCACTCACACATCGGTTCCCTTCCCTCCACACCACTTACCTTCATTCTGGAAGCAAATGAACCGGGTCGCCCACTAGCAAGGGGTAAGCCGGGACCTTGGCGAGCGCAGAGCCAAGCCCTCAACACCACGGCTAGCTCTGTGCTATTCCTGGAATCATGACTGGGGGCCCTGAGCCCGGTGACCAGGGAATGGGACAGCCCGGGGGGAAGGGGTGAGGCAGGCGTGTCCACCCCAACCTTTTCCATCTGCTTCTCCAAGGAGTCCAGCGGGTGCGTGCGGGCCAGCAGCTGCTTCAGGCGGACCAGCTCCCGCTCCTTCTCCTCCCAGTCCTGCTGCTGCTGCTGCCGCTCCTGCTTCAGGGAAGCGATCTGGGCTTCGTAGCTGCCGATGGAGTCTGGCGGGATGGGAAGGGGGGGTTGGTGTGCCAGCCTGCCTGTGGGTGAACGGGGGCTCTCGATGCACTGAATCTCCCTGCGAGGCAATGCCACATGGCTACCATGGTGGGCTTTGCAGAGACAGACCCGGGAGATCACTTAGCTTTCTGGGCATCACAGTCTTCAGATGCAACATGGGGCTGCTACTGACAACCCTGCTTGGCTGCTATGGGATTAAATAACATATGTAAGCCCTGTCCCTGGTACATAATAAATGCTGAAGAGATGGTATCTATTCCTATTAACATATTCCAGTAACAATATTTAATAATAAGGTCGGGTACGGTGGTTCATGCCTGTAATTCTAGCACTCTAGGAGGCTGAGGCGGGTGGATTGCTTGAGCTCAGGAGTTTGAGACCAGCCTGAGCAAGAGCGAGACTCCATGTCTGCTAAAAATAGAAAAGAAAATTAGCTAGACAGTAACTAAAAACAGAAACAAAAAATTAGCTGGGCATGGTGGCTCACACCTGTAGGCCCAGCTACTCGGGAGGCTGAGGCAGGAGGATGGCTTGAGCCCAGGAATTTGAGGTTGCTATCAGCTAAGCTGATGCCACATAACTGTAGCTTGAGTGACAAAGTGAGACTCTATCCCCAAAATATATATTTACGTATTTAATAATAGTAATAGTTATTTACTCTGAAGTAGACTCTGAGCTGGGCTCTGGAAATACAGAAATTAATCAAACAAACCTGCCAGCAGGAGCTCACAGACCAAAGGGGAAGGCGGCCATGGCCATGGTTAGGATGCAGTGTGAGAAGAGTTAGAGGAGACGGCAGTTCCTGGGCTTGTGGGTCCTAGTGGAAGGAGCCCTCACTCTGCCGGCTTGGCCAGGAGAGGACACTGGTAGATGGTGAAGGAGGGAAAGGACACATTAGGTAAGAGCACCAGCATGAGCAGAGGAAAAGTGGCTCCTGCATCTGGAGCATGATGGAGCATGTTGGAAGAGTTGGAAGAATGAAAGTAAGAGAAGCTGGAAAGGTCGGCAGTTGATGGCTACCAGGGCCTTGAATGCCACGCCAAGAGGTTTGGAACTTATCCTACAGGTCTGTGGGAGATGCAGGTGATATTGGTGGAATACGGACATTTTTTAAAATTTTCGGTAGGACATGGTCATCTTTTACTTGCATAGGTATTTATTAATGTGTGCTAATGTCAGAAGTTAAGATTCGGCTGTCAGACTGCCCAAGTTCAAATCTTCTGCCACTTTCCAGCTGTTTGAACTTAGACAAATTATTTAACCTTGCTGGGCCTCAGAGCCTCCTCTGTAAAATGGAGATGGATAATATTCCTGCCTCATAGAGTTTGTTATGAAGAGTAGATACTCAGAGCATTTAGCTCAGTGCCTGGCTTAATAAATGCTAACTACTATTCTTATTCAAGACACATCTAGTTTTTTTTTATACAGTAGAGATAAGAAATTTCCTTTAATAAATGTATGTAAGCTTTTTTTTTTGAGACAGAGTCTCACTCTGTCACCCCAGCTAGAGTGCAGTGGCATCATCATAGCTCACTGTAACCTCTCAAACTCCTGGACTCAAGCAAACCTCCTGCCTCAGCCTTCCAAGTAGCTGGCACTACAGACGTGCACCACCGCGCCTGGCTAATTTTTCTATTTTTTTGTAGAGATGGGGTCTTGCTCTTGCTCAGGTTGGTACTGAACTCCTAACCTCAAGCAATCCTCCCACCTCAGCATCCCAGAGTGCTAGAGCTTTTAAAAAGTGGACCTGTTTAAAGAACAAATATTAAATAACTAGCAGGGTGAGCTGTATGAGGATACAACTACATTGCACAGGTGTGCAGATGCCTGCAATGTGGGAAATACAGCCCCAGAGTAGTCTGGAGCAAGGACTGGTTGTTAGAAAGTGAAATGGCATGATGGGATGGGAATTTTAGGAGATTTGCTTTGGAAGCCAAGGTCAAGGCCAGACTACAGAGAGAGATCTGTGAGAAGGCTGGGGCAAAAGTCAAGGAGAGAGCTGACCAGAGCTCGACTACAGCAGGGGCAGTGGTGGCAGAAAGGTGTGGGCAGCTCTGACATCTGTTTCAGAGACTCTGGTCTCAGCTAGAGGAGAGGGAAGAGAAAACAGAAGAAGCTGAGGCATCTGGGGTCCAGGGAGATAGAGCTTCCCAAGCACAAAAAAATGTGAGGTGGAGGGAGGGGAGCTGGTGCATGGGAATGGGGGCAGATGTAGGGATGTCTGGGGAAGGATGGAGACCACAGGATTAGACTCACAGAACCTGGGCCCAGGGAGGAGTCTGAGCCCAGAGGCCCACACTAAAATGAGGCTGGTTCAGGGAACTGAGAAGTTTTTTCTCATCTTTAGGGTTGATCAGTCATCAGTGAGGCACAAGAAATGACACTGGGCAAGGGAACAGATAGAAGCTAGGAGCTAAACTTAGCTGTAACTTACAGAGCTGCTGCTGCTATCTATGCAAATTAGAAAAGGGAGCCTCTTCCTTTGGGCCACAGGCATGTCCCTTGCTAGGCAGCCCTGCTAACCTGCCCCACAGCTTCTCTGCGTCCCCAGACCGGGTTCTCTCTCCTCATGCACTTCCCTCTGTGGGGCTGATGGGGAGTGGGGGGAGCTCTGGTCTCACCTTTCAAGATGGCCTGCAGCGAAGCCACCTCCTCTTGGCACTGCCGCTGCACTGCAGCCACAGCCTCGGCCTTCGTGCTCTCGCTCACCTCAGCCACAGCCTTCATGGTCTCCATTTCTGCCAGGGCGCCTGCCAGCTCAGCCCGAAGCCGGCCCAGCTCACCTGACTCGGCCTCAGCCTTTGCCCCGTCCTGGGGCTGCGGGTCCAGCGCTGTAGGGGACAGGAGTCAGCCTCTCTCTCTTTCCATCCCTTCTCGGAGTCCCAACACCCCAAGCCACCCACCAAATCAGCAAGTTCTGCAACCTAGTAATGCGGCCACGGCCACGGTTACACCACCTTCACCTGGTCCAGCCTGCTCACCTGGCACTGCCCTGCTCACCTGGCCCCGCCCCTTCCCTGCCTCCTTCCCAACTTGCTTGGCCTTGTGTTGCCCATAGCCCACTTCTTCCGCGTTTCCCGGTTCACCTAGCCCCCTCTTTACTCGGACGCGATTCCTCCCTTACAGCGGTCCCGCCCTTTCCCTCACCGGGCCCCACCTCTCACCTGCCACTGGCCCCGCCCCTTTCGCCCGTGGCTCCAGGCTCCGCCTCCCCCTTTACCCAGCGGCGCGGCACGGCCCCGCCCCTTTCTCCACTCGCCCCTCTCCACCCCCCACCCACCAGCCGCCGAGCTCCGCCCTGCCCCAGCCTCACCGCCCCCCGCATGCATGGACGCCCCGCACGTACCGGCCCCCGGCTGCCGCCGCCGCCCGTCCTCGCCCGCGGCCACCGGCGCAGCTGCCGCCATCGCCTCGGCGCAAACGGCGGATTCCCGCACTCCGTGGAGACGGCTCACCGCTTCCGGGTCCTCTCGGCTGTTTCCGGATCCGCTCGGCTGTTTCCGGATCGGCCCCGGGGGCTGAGGGCTCCGCCGGAGGCGGAGGGATTGCCGAGCCTCGGCCGAAGATGCCCGAGTGGGCAGCGGCCCCGCCCCTCTCCCTACGTGGCTGGGCCGCGCTGGTAGTGTGGACGCCTGCTCTCCGAACCCAAAGAGGTTTTCTTCTTCAGACGCCTTCCCTAGTGTCTCTCCGTGACCTTGGAACTTCTGCTCCGATTACACCTCCTTCGGGACGCGAGTGGCCCCGGCCTGGAGCACGAGGCGCGCTCTCCCTCTCCCCCAGGCTGGAGCCGCGCTCGGATCGGCGCTGGCTACGGCGACCCGGGGCCCGGCCCTCCCTGCACCTCCGCCCTCGTGGAGCGTCCCTCGGGGCAGGGCTGGGTCGGCTTCATTTTTCTGGGCGCCTCGGAGTCCCCGTGTCGTCGTCAGTCGTAGAAGTCGGAAACTTGCACGTCCTCACCCCCATGTTGATGTGCAACCCAGTCACCGCTTCCTGCTAATCCCCTCGCCCTCAAATCCCTGCTCTCCTCTCGGCCTCAGCCTAGGTCAACCTCTCATTATCTGTGACCTTAAATCCAGAGCCTCGATTCCCCTTCCCCCAACCTGTTTCTCCCTCTGTAAAGGACACCCCAGGCCCCTGGAAGTCCTTGATTCTTCGTATCCTCCCGCAAGTCCAGGAAACTTTCCCTCCGATGTACTGAATATTCCAGAATGTGTCCCTTTCCCTCCATCTCCAGCGCTAGCAGCCAATTGCAGCTCCCCTCATCTCTCTCCTGGACGGCCATAGTTCATGTCCTACCTGCTCCACAGGTGTATCAACTCGTGGCCCCTTTACTCAAAGCAACTGGAGTGATTTTTGTAAAACATAAATCATGTCTCATCCCTGCTAAAAACCTAGTTATTCGGTTTGAAAGTGGAAAAAAGACATGAACAGACATCTCACTGATGTCACAGGTGGCAAATATACCCATGAAAAGATGTTCAACGTTAGCCATTAGGGAAATGCACATTAAAGCTGTTAGGTCTGGAGGGGCGAAGCCTCCTGTGTAGCAAAATGCTATTTATTTTGAGCATCTGGGTGCAGATGGGTGGAGGCTGAAAAAGGCGTTCACGAGAGAAAAGGGGAGACCTTTGGGTTTTGTAGAGGGTTTTTCTGGGAGGAGTAAATACTTTTCAGACAATGGGGAGGGATAAGGAAAGTAAGTTCCCCTTTTGCATTTCATTCCTCTATCTCCCTAGGTGTCAGGCAAAGGCTACCTGCCTAATACACCCCTAGGAAGGAGAGAGCAGTGGGTTTTATAGGAGGTTTGGATGGAAGTTTGGGGAAGGTGAATTCTTTAAGCCTAACATTGCACCCTTTCTATTATATACATGTAAGAAAAGGAAGGGCAAGGTATGAGAAAGGCAAAAAATTAAAACTTAGATTGTGAAGCAGGCATCATCATCTTTCCCAGCAGGTTTGGAGAGAAGCAGGAAAGAGTAGGCAGAGGTCAAGGTTGATCTTTAGCTGTTATTAGAAAATTAGGAGATTCAAAGCCGCCCTAACGAAAGCCACAACTTTCATTACCACACACCTTTCAGAATGGCTAAAATAGAAGTTTTAACACCAAGTGCTGGTGAGTATGCAGAGAAACTGGGTTTCTCATATATCGTTGATGGGAATATGAAATAGGACAGTCACTCTGGAATAAAGAATATGGCAGTGTCTAACTAAATATGCACTTACCTGAACACATGAAGCTTTCCCCACCTCAGGTCTCGCCTCAAATGTCACCTTCTCAACGAGGCCTTCCCCGACCACCATTTCTAAAGTAGCTCCCTCCATCACCTGTCCACCATTATATCACATCAGAGCACTTCTCACCACCTGAAATTGTCTATTGGTTGTTTATTACCTGTCCCCTTTACCCTTCCTTGGCCCCAAACTTGCATCAAAGCCCCATGAGATTAGGAACCCTTTCCTGTCACCTGCTGTTTCCCCAGCCTATAGCAAGATGCTGGTAAATAAACGTAGTAGTAAATAAACATTTGGTGAATGAATGGATGAATGCGTGCTTTTCACAATGGTGTCTCTGGCCTCCCTCCAACCCACCCTCCACAGGGCAGCCAGGGGGAGCTGTGGAAAATACAAATCGAGTCAGGTCAGCTCCTGACTTATAGACCCCCAATAGCTTCTTGCCCTCAAAATTAAGTCCGCACGCCCTGTGAACATGGTAGGGTTTCTGGGGGAGGGAGGAAATGAAGACTGGAAATAAGGATCCAGTCCATCTGGGGAGAGGCTTCATGGCAGCTCTCAGGCTTGGATTTTATCCTGAAGGCCCTGGGAGCCATTGAAGACTATTGAGCAAGGAAGCAAGGAAGCACGTGTGACTAATATCAAAGAAGTTCTCTTGATATGCAGAATGTGGGTGGGCAGCAAAAGACACAGGGGAGGAGACCCAGGATAGAGGTTGTTGAATTGGTTCTAGTTGTGAAGGAAGGGTCCAAAGAGAGGAGAAAATTGATTCTAGAAACATTTAGGATACAAAATGGACTAGCCTTGGTGACTGAGTGCATGTAGGGGAAGATAAAAGAAAGTTTGCTTTCACTCTTCTTTTATTCCACAAATAACTTATTGAGCACCTACTACATACATGCCAGTGTACGTCTAGGGACAGTAAAGATCCCTGTTCTTGAAGAGCGAACATTCTGGGGCAGGAGGCAGATGAGAAAGCTAACAAATAAACAACCATACTTTGAGATTAGGGCAAGGGCTGGGAAGAAAATAAAATAAGGATGTGAGATCAAAAAAGTACCTAGGGGGAGGGGGTCAGGGAAGGCTTCACTGAGGAGGTACCGTGTGAATTGACACCTGAATGAGGAAAGCAGCCAGTCAAGCAAAGAGCAGAGCAGAGCCCCAGGAAGAAGAGCAGCAAGTGCAAAGGCCCTGCAGTGGGAAAGCGCTGGGCAAGGTGGGGCACGGTGTGCAAGGAGAGTGGTGGGGGGTACCCAGTAGAATTACCAGTAGGGCCAGCGTCACCCGGTCTTGTAGGCCATGACTTAGAGGTTTTTTTTATTTTAGGTAGATGAAAAGCTACTGACATGCTTTAAGCCGGGTACTGACACACTCCAGTGAGAGCTAGACTGGACAACTGGGGAGCTAGATGAAGGGGATTAGGGAGATTTTGTTGAATGAAAGGCAGATGGGGGTCCTGCTACTTGCCCTCTTCATTCCCCAGTGCCCCACTCTTCCCCTCCCAGCCCCCTCAGTGGCCAAAGGGAAGTGGAGGCCCTGCCACCTGGAGGGTCCCCTGGGGTTTGCCCCAGAACAAACAGGAAGCCACAGCCTAGTGAGAGGGGCCTGGGAATCAGCCACTGAGAAAGTAGGTCTCTTGGGTCTCTGGACTCTTTCTCTGAGTGCCTACAACAGTGAAAGACACAGACAGAGCAAGGAGGAGGGAGAGAGGGAGGATGAGGAGGCATGGGGCAGAATAAGGACAGACTGGCGTCAGGACTCCTGGGTTCTGGTCCTCACTAGATCACCAGCTCAATGTGTGACCTTAGGCAAGGCCCTGCCCTTTTGGGGACTCCAATCACCCCATTTCTAAATGGGTTCCTTCCCTAACTGAAGCAAGGGCTTGTTGGGGAAAGAACTGAGTGAGAAAGGGACGTTAATCATGCCATTTCTAAGGACCACTACTACCAAGGAGCTATAGTGGCTGCCACTTTCTCCAAACTGCTGCCACACCCCTCTTAACTTTATATATAATGACTGATTTATCCTCAAAACAATATGGGGTAGGTTCTCTCATCACCCCCAATGTATAGATAAGGAAACTTGCCTTATTTTGTTTATATATTTTTTTAGAGATAGGGTCTTGCTATGTTGCCCAGGCTGGAGTGCAGTGGCTATTTACAGGCGCATTCATAGCTCACTGCAGCCATGAACTCCTGGGCTCTAGTGATCCTCCTGCTTCAGCCTCCCAAATAGCTGGAGCTGGGATTACAGGTGTGTACCACCACACCCAGCTTTTGACTGGTTTTGAATCCAGGCAGTCTGACTTGAACTCCTAGCCATTATGTAATGCTACCTCTCATTAACTGAGGGCCTACTATGTGCTGGGCACCGGGCTAATAATGCCTCACACATATTGTCCTGTTTAGCCTTCACAAACAGTATGTTTGTAGTACTATTATTACCCACAGTTGATAGGGAAAGAAACTGAGGCTTAGAGTAATAAAGAAATGTAGCCAAATGGTGGAGGTGAAGGATTCAAACTCAGGTCTGCCAGATCCCAAAGTATGCTATGGGTGGTTGCATGGAGGCAGAAGGAGGCCCAAGAAATATTTGCAGAGTGAATGAATGGGGGGTGTGCATGTGAACAGAAACCAGGGTGGGAGGAGGAAGATGGGGGAGAAGGAGGAGCCCCTAAGGTTGAACCCACTGATTCACAAATATTTCCCAGGTGCCTACTATGTGCTGAGCACTGTTCTAGAGCACTGTGTATTTAGTGGTGAAAAAGACAAAGTCTCCACTCCAAGGGGCTTACCTTCTAGTGCCGGAAACAAGTGAACAAGTAGACACACAAGTAAACTCATTTTACAGGGTGGTAAGTGCCGGGATGAAAATAAAACAGTGTAGCAGGAAGGAGGCAAGTTTTGTGGGTCTGGAGGGGTGCCTGGAGGAGGGGGCCCGAGGCGTGACCACCCCCTTCCTCTGGGGGGGGGACTGCCTGCCACCCCCGCAGACACCCATGGTTCAGTGCCCTCCAGGCCCCCGCCTGCCCCGGCATCCCCTGCGCGAAGCTGGGTGCCCCAGGGAGTCTGGCCACCATGCCACCTCCTCTCCTCCTCTTCTTTCTCCTCTTCCTTACCCCCATGGGCACCAGGCCCCAGGAACCGTGGCTGGTGAAGGTGGAAGGTATGTGCAAAAGGCAGAGAGGGAAGGAGTTGGGGCTGGAAACCTGGGTCGGGGCTGGGTGCCCTTGGCTGAGTAGCTTACTCTCTCTGAGCCTCCATTTTCTTATTTGTAAAATTCGGGGAGGGTTTGGAAGTACTCGAGGGCTCATGTACTCCCAGCTGGTGGGGTCCTTTGCTTTATGACCCAGTGTGAGCAGTGAAGGGGGCTAGGGCTCCCCATCCTTCTCTCTTTTCCTCTCTCCCTCTCTCTCCGCAGAGGGAGGTGACGCTGTGCTGCCGTGCATCAAGAATCCTCCAGATGGCCCCCCTGAGCAGCTGGCCTGGCGGCGCGGGCCCCAGCCAAAACCCTTCTTAGAGCTGAACCTGGGGTTACCAGGCCTGGGCCTCCATGTGGGGCACCTGGGCATCCTGATGTTCATCTTAAACATCTCTGAGCAGATGGGGGGCTTCTACCTGTGCCAGGGGAGGCCCACCTCTGAGAAGGCCAGGCAGCCTGGCTGGACAGTCAGCGTGGAGGACAGTGGTGAGGGCCAGGCTGGGCTGGGGTGAGGGCCCAAAGGAGGAGGGAGGCCAGCTGTAGACACAGGAGGTCCAGTGGCCGCAGTGGAGTTGGGGAGGGGATGGAGGAGCCACAAGGAGCAAGTTGTGGCTGGGCACACGCATGCAGCTCCACGACTTCAACATGAGCTGCTCCACGGTTCTTGGTCTGTCACTTTTCTCTTGCTGTCCAAGTTGCTGCTTCTGTCTCTGGGTCTGTGTCTCTATTTGTCTCTGCCTTTCTGGGTCCCTATCTCTCGTCCTCTCCTAGATGTCTCTGCATCTGGTTCTGGGTCTCTTCCCAGGGGAGCTGTTCCGGTGGAATGCTTCAGACCTACAGGACCTAGGCTGTAGCCTGGGGAACAGGTCCTCAGAGGACCCCAGGCCCTCTTCTGGTCACCCCAACAGCTCCCAGCTGTACGTGTGGGCCAATGACGGCCCTGAGATCTGGAAGGGAGAGCCTACGTGTGCCCCACCTAGGGACGGTTTAAACAAGAGCCTCAGCCAAGGTAAGGTGACAGTGCTGGGGAGATGCCAGAAAGTGGGGGTCCAGGGATGGGGAATGGTGAGTGGAAACTGGAGGGTTTAGGGTAGATGAGACCCCAAGGATTAGGCTTTCCTAGTCTTGTCTCTCCCTGCCTTAGACCTCACCATGGCCCCTGGCTCTATACTCTGGCTGTCCTGTGGGGTGCCCCGTGATGCTGTGGCCGGAAGCCGCATCTCCTGGACCCATGTGCACCCCAAGAAGCATAACTTCTCATTGCTGAGCCTAGACCTCAGCCAGGGTCATCCAGCCAGAGATATGTGGGTCCTGGGGACTGGTCTGTTGTTGCCCCGGGCCACAGCTCAAGATGCTGGCACCTATTATTGTCACCGTGGTAACCTGACCATCTCGATGCACCTGGAGGTCATTGCCCGGCCAGGTAGAGTTTCTCTCAATTGTGGGGCATCTGTGTAGGACTACTGGGAAGAGGAAACTAGTCAATTGTGGACCCCCAACTTGAGGACTAGTTCCAGCCTCATCCCAAACCCCAACTTCTACACAGAACACTCACTCCAACTCTTTCCTCTCTTGCTTCCGAGACATTACTTTTCTGGGTCTTCTACACTGGTTGTTCCTTCCTACCAGCTTTGGTGGAGCCTTTCTTCCAGCTTCCTGTTGGAGCCCTGGTCACTCTTTTCACCCCTGTCGACACACTTTTCCCATTTGATCTCTTTCACTCCCATGGCTTCTTGGGTCATCACGCCTCAATATCTCTATTCCAGGCTCCATACCCCCACTCCCAGCCATATCCTGGAATTGCCATTTGATATCCCATGGACACCTCAGGCTCAACATATCCCAAATCAAACTCAACATCTTCCCCCAATATAGTCGTCTGGTGGCCCTGCGTACATGAAGGACTACCATCTGCCCATTTGTGCAAGCTGGGATCCTGGTCATCCTTCCTTTTCCCCACCCACCCCATCTGTCAAATTGGTCACAATATTCTGTCCATTCTGTCTCCCTCATACAATCCTCCCATGCTATCCTAACCACAATTCTCAAACTCAGTCTCAACTCTCACTCTAAACTTGAGTTCAGCAACATTCTGGATCTGAACTCTAACCTTGTGAACTCAGTTCTGCCCTTCACTTTGACCATGACTGCCCTTAACTGCAGCAGGAAGCTGATCATTATGCTCCCCTCAATCCTAACATTGCCTCTGACTACAGGCATGGTTTGTCCTTGGTTTGCTCAATAGACACTGCCCCATGCCCTGTGCCAGGCTCTGTAGCACAGTCTCTGTCTGCCTGGGACATGGCTCCTTAGAGGGAAGAAGGACTTTGAGACTGTGCCTTGCCCCTGTCCCCCAGACTTATGGTCCTTTGAGGTCATGTGGTTGGAAAGTAAGATGCCAGCCTGGGGTCCTCTTCTCATAGCCCCTTTCCCCTAGCACTATGGCAGTGGCTGGTGAGGACTGGTGGCTGGAAAGTCCCAATTGTGACTTTGATTTATCTGATCTTCTGCCTGGGTTTCCTGCTGGGCTTTCTTCATCTTCAAAGAGGTGAGTCATGCCCCTCAGCTGGTTGGCCAAAACCCTATCCCATCTTCCCCAGGATAAGCCCACAGTGGCCAGTCTAACAGCCATCTTTCTTTCCTCCTATTCTTCCCCCACAGACCTCAGAACTCTGTCCCACCACGAACCCCCCCTCTGCCCCTCCTAGAACCCCCCCTCAAGTTTCCCAAGCCCCTTGCAATTTGATCTCCCATCTCCTCTATTAACCCAAATGATTTCCCCAGCACCCCCCAAATCCTCACCCTGCCAAGTAGCCCCCCCCTCTGATCACTACCCTTAACTCCCACCAGCCCTGATCCTGAGGAGGAAAAGAAAGCGAATGACTGACCCCACCAGGAGGTAATGCAGCAAGTGCACCCCACCCCATTCATTTTATGCTTTGCACTTACTGTTTCCTCTGCCTAGGGTGTCTTTGCTCCATTTCTACCTGTTGAAATACCGCACCTCAAAGCCCAGCTCCACAGCTACCCCCTCTGTGAAGACCTCCTTGGAGTGATCCCAGACTCCTCTGTAGGCTGTCCCAGCCCAGAAGAGCTAATCACAAGTGACCACGTTTAACTTCGGAAGCCCTGGCCTGAATCTTGAGTGTGTCCCCCCGGCCCTTCCAGGGTTGGACTCACAGTCCATCTTCCCTTCTCACGCCAGGTTCTTCAAAGTGACGCCTCCTCCAGGAAGCGGGCCCCAGAACCAGTATGGGAACGTGCTATTCCTTTCCACGCCCACCTCCGCCATGGGTAAGAGGCACCACCTGGCCTCTGACCCGGCCCCTTCTGCTTATAGCTCCGCCTCAGAGCTAGAGCTCCGCCCCCATCATCCTCCTCCCTCCAATCCCCTGAGCGCTAAGTCTTCTAGAGCTCAGAGCTCCGCCCTCAGGGTGGGGAGTCCCGCCCATAAGCGAGCCCCGCCCCTGGACCCGAGCCCCGCCCCCAGGGCTCTGAGCCCCGCCCCAGGACCTGTCCCTGAAGTCCTGCTCAAGTGCAGAGTTTAGCTCCTGAACTTGAGGCCTCATGTCTAGGTTTAGATCCCGCCCCCATGGGTTGCGACCCAGAGTCCTTTCACAGACCCCCAAACATCCTCTCCCCCTTCCCCGCCGTGGGGACTTGGGTCCTAACCGCTCCCATCTCTTCCGACCCTGCCTTACAACCCCCGTCTGGCCAGGACGCGCCCAGCGTTGGGCGGCAGGCCTGGGGGGCGCAACACGGTCCCACGGAAACCTGCGCAGCGACGTCCAGGAGGCTAGAGCTGCGGGGTCCCGGAGCCCTCCAGGAGCGGGTGAATGGGGGGGTCATTCCTCACGTGGAGGGTGTTGGGGCTGGCTGTGGCTGGAATAGTGGACTGGGGCCTGATGGAGGGGGCGTGATGGTTCCCCACCCCCATCCCCAACCCCCAGGCCCAGAACAGGAGGAAGGCGAGGGCTTTGAGGAGCCAGACTGCAAGGAAGGCTCCGAGTGTTATGAGAACGACTCCAACCTTGGGCAGGACCAGCTCTCCCAGGGTAAGGCTGCCCCACCCCCACCCCCCCCACCTCTCAGCGGGGGCTCTGGAGCCTCGCTGGACGCCCCTCCTTCTCCACCAGATGGCAGTGGCTATGAGAACCCTGAGGATGAGCCCTTGGGTCCTGAGGATGAAGACTCCTTCTCTGACGGTAACTTGGGGTCCTCGTGGGGCCTCAGAGACTTAGGAAGACCCACGGCACTGTGGAGCCCCTATCAAGCAGGGGTGGTCCCTGGAGCTCTCATTCTTCTGCAGGAGCTGAGTCTTATGAGAATGAGGATGAAGAGCTGGCCCAGCCAGTTGCCAGGACAATGGGTATGTGCGAGAATGGCCACATTCCTGGGGGAAGGGAGGCCCGTAGGCCAGGAGGAATAGTGACCTCCCTCTTCCTTCTCCAGACTTCCTGAGCCCCCATGGGTCTGCCTGGGACCCCACCCGGGAAGCAGCCTCCCTTGGTGAGAGATGCTTGGGACCAGCCTGCCTTGCCCAGCTTGGGCTGCAGCTCTGACACCAAGACCATGCTTTGACCTGACTCTGACCCCAAACTCAAGCCCAACCCTGACCTTAGATTTGACTCCTAACTCTACCCTCAATACTGACCACACATCCCATCCTGACCACCAGTATTTATATCTTCCCTAATTGTGAACATCAACACGGATCCCAGTCCAGTTCCAGCCCGAACTTGACGTCCACTTCACTCCAGCACCAATGCAGACTTCAATTTTGACCCCAGCTCTCTCCACAACTTCCTTATGACTTTGGCTTTGACTCTATCATCAAGTTCTGTCTTGGCTCTTTCTCTGACCATAAGCTAACCTGTACCTAACCCTGACCCTACAACTGTTCAGGCCCCCCAAGCCTGATGCTGACCTAATCACCCCTTCCCAATACAGCATGGGTGAAACCTCCCACCTTCCTCTGCCCCTCGGACCCCCTCCTTACCAAGGCTGCACTTCCCTTCCCCAAGCCTCCAATTCTCCATCCCTGGCCCAAGCAGGGTCCCAGTCCTATGAGGATATGAGAGGGATCCTGTATGCAGCCCCACAGCTCCGCTCCCTCCGGGGCCAGCCTGGTCCTGATCATGAGGAAGGTGGGTGCTTCTGCCACTGTCCCTGTTGTCCTGTGGCTGACTGTGCCTCCCAGCCTACTTCCAGCCCTACCTATGTCCTACTCCTTCCTGGTGCTGTCCAGATGCAGACTCTTATGAGAACATGGACAATCCCGACGGGCCAGAGCCAGCATGGGGAGGTGGCGGCCACATGGGGACCTGGAGCACCAGGTGACCCCCAGCTGACCAGGTGAGCTGGGACTGTCCCTAGGGAAGGGGGAGAGGGAGACAGAGAGGCAAGGATGGCAGTGTGCACTGGCTCTCAGGGAGAGAGAGGGAACAGAGATCCAAGGCCTGGTGGGCAGGGGGAGGGCTCCTGGCCCCTTCCCCATCACCATTTCTTCTACATAACCTAGGCCTCCTTGGGCCCCTGACAACATCCACACCTGACTCTGAAACCTGAGGATCCCAAGCAGATAATGTCAACCTCCGGGGCGACGTTGCTCAGGATGTGTGTGTATGTGTGTACATGTGTGCATGTGTGTGTGCCAGTGAAACTTCCAGCCCCTTTTGTGTTCCCCAAATAAACTCACTGAGCTCTTTCAATCTTATGAAGTAGTGCCCTTGTGTGGGAGGGGAAGGAAGGAAGGAAAGGGTACACACCTGTCCCCTCTTGAATCCTGTAAAGGAGGGAGCGCTGCATTCTGTGTATGGGAAGATTGTCCCCTCCTGTGGCCACCTTCACCCATTTCCCTCATTTGCCCACCATCCACCCTATTCCCCACATCAGCCACATTCCTGCCATCCGCTTATTCAATTGCTGTTTATTCAGCAATTGTATGCTGGAGAAACAGGCCAGGTGTGGTGTCTCGCACCTGTAATCCCAGCACTTGGCCAAGGCAGGAGGATCACTTGAGCCCAGGAGTTTGAGACCAGCCTGGGCAACATAGGGAGACCCCCACTCTACTAAGAATCGAAAAAATTAGCTGGGCGTGGTGGCACATGCCTGTAGTCCCATCTACTGGGAAGCTGAGGCAGGAGGATCCCTCGAGCCCAGGACTTTGAGGTTGCAGTGAACTCTGATGACACCATTGTACCCTAGCCCAGGCAACAGAGCAAGACATTTTCTCAAAAAAAAAAAAGAAGAAGAAGAAGAAAAAGTCCAGGAATTGGCATTCTAGGTAGAAAACATCATCCATCAGCATTGGGTATTTATTATCTACTATATTCTAAGCACTAACGTCAATAAACTCAATCCTTACAATAACCTCATGAGGTTACTGAGCACAAAGTTACTATGTGCCAGGATTGTATCAAAGCATTTTATGTGTGTATTTATTTATAATAGCTCATTTTGTCTTCATAAACAACCCTATAGGTAGGTATACTATTATTATCACCATTTTACAAAAGAGACTGAGGCTGAGAAGTTCAATGTACATGTCCAATGCTTGCCCTGTCAATAAGCTATACGGTGAGAACTTGAGTTTTGGCCATCTCATTCTGAGCCTAACTCAAGTTGACTCTCTCCCTTCTGGGTGGGACACTGAGTATAAGAGAGGCCAAGGAACATTTCTGTGGTCGCAGGCCTGGATGCATATCCAGAAATCTGGCTGCACATGTAGTCACCCTGCCTTCCTACCTGATATAAACAATGCACAAAGACTTTCAGAGCTAAAAGTCCTCAGTCCCTGGAACCATTATGTAGCAAGCTCCACCACATGCAAATTCTTGCCTTAGGAAAGGTGGACTTGGTCACTGAGATTCCTGATGGCTTTGGCCTGGTCTCCATGCCACCATTCTCCCCAGTTCCAGTGGTCTTCTGAACCCCAGTCTCTCCTGCTCAAGAAATTTCAACACTTCCTATAAGACTGGCTAGAATTTTCTAATATCTACATTTTTATTTCTAGAATTTCTTTTTTATTTTATTTTATTTTTTTTATTTCGGCATATTATGGGGGTACAGATTTTAAGGTTTCAATAAATGCCCATTTCCCCCCCTAGAATTTCTTTTCTTAAAGTACCAGTTCATAATATCCTGGTTTTGTTTGATAGATTCCTTCTTTATTTCTAAACATTTAAAACTCACTTTATCTGAATTAACATTACTGTGATGTGCCAGGCATCATTCTAACTGCTTTGCAGGTAGCATCTCGTTTTATCTTTACAACAATCCTCTGAGGAAGATACACTAAAATTGTTATCATCTTATAGCTGAGGAAATTGCTAACTGACCTTAGGCAACTTAACCTCTCTGACCCTTAGTTTCCCCACTTATAAAGTAGCATTAGGGAGGAGGCATGGTGTGGTTATTGTTATGTTTACAATGGTGTGGATTTTCTCATGGCTCATGTGTCACCATGGAAGGTTTCTTTGACTTCTTTGTGTTTCTTCTGCCTGTGGGAGGCTGTGAGGTCCCTGGGCCCTACTGACACCCCCTGGGGCTGGCTTTGGCGTCCCTGCCACAGTCTTACAGGCTATACAGGTTTCTGACTGTTTTTCTTCACTAGTTCCTCAGAGCAGGTTTTTGCACTAGAGGTTTGGTCTGAATCCAGGCGTATGCTTTGGTAACCCTTGAGATTCTGATTGCCCATGGTGGCTTTTTCCATTCACAGCCTTTTGAGTGGCTTTCCTGCATGCCAGGGCCTTTGGTTGGATTTTTTCCTTCTCCATCTTCTGTTCCCAGAAAAGAAAGCCATTTCCTTCCTTCCCTCCTTCCTTCCTTCCTTCCTTCCTTCCTTCCTTCCTTCCTTCCTTCCTTCCTTCTCTTCCTCTCTTCCTTCCCTTCCTTCTTCCCTCCTCCTCGTCCCTCCTTCTTTTTTTTTGACAGAGTCTCACTCTGTTGCCCAGGCTAGAGTGCCATGGTGTCAGCCTAGCTCACAGCAACCTCAAACTCCTGGGCTCAAGCGATCCTCCTGCCTCAGCCTCCCAAGTAGCTTGGACTACAGGCATGTGCCACCATGCTCGGCTAATTCTTTCTATATATTTTTAGTTAGCCAATTAATTTCTTTCTATTTTTAGTAGAGACGGGGTCTCACTCTTGCTCAGGCTGGTCTTGAACTCCTGATCTTGAGCGAACCACCCACCTTGGCCTCCTAGAGTGCTAGGATTACAGGCATGAGCCACCACGCCCGGCCAAGGAAAGCCATTTTCAAAAAATTTTGAGACAGGGTCTTGTTATGTTGTCCAGGCTGGTCTCAAATTCCTGGGCTTAAGTAAGCTTACTGACTCAGCCTCCCAAGTAGCTGGGTTTACAGGTACACATCTCTGTGCCCAGCTCTAGACAGCCGTTTTTCAGCTTCCAGCTTTGTACAGGGAGCTCAGTTTCCACTCCCTGCTGTTCTTGGGGCCTCAGCCTTGACCTCTGTCCCTATGTGGGCATTAAAACTCCAATCACAGAGATTCCAGTATTCCAGCATTCTCTTGGGCTGCTTGACGCCACACCGTGAGCTTTTGAGCTCAGCTATCTTATTAAAGAAAAAAAGCAACACTTCTTATATTAGTATTTTGCTGAGTGTATATATGTATTTGGGGGTTTGGGTATGAACCTCCAATATTTCCTTGGGCTTCCATCTTGAACACAAGTCTCTGTGACTAAAAAAAGAACAAATTCCAGGTCTGCCTCAGCATTTATCACCCCAGCTCTTCACTGGCCACAATCCCCTACGTTACCTTTCAGCTAAAATGCGTTCCCCACTACCTTTCACCCAGCCTGCTCCATTCATTTCAGTTTCTTGCCTGTGCTTCAGCGTGTAAGGGTATGACTCCTGGTGAAAATATTCTGCCTTCTTGGAGCTGGATCCACGTTCAAGTCATCTCTGTGCTCCCGGTACCTGGCCAGAGAGTGGCAAAGATCAGGAGCTCAGGAAAGCAGGAGGAGGGGAAGGAGGAGTGAATGGAGGGCTGTGGGAAGTGCTGGGGTGGGTGTATCATGCATTCAGGGTGCAGAGGAAGAAGGCATCCCTGTGGTCTCACCCACCCAGAGGAGTCTCCAGGGAAGTTGAGGTTGGAACAGAGTTGTGCTAACTTCCAGCCCAGCGAGCGCTCTGAATCCCACCATCACCCCTTTCTAGCTATATGACCCAAGTTCTCTGTGCTGAAGTTCCCTGGTCTGTAAAATTGGGATAATAATTAGAGCATCCTTAATGAGTCTTTTATTTTTTTCTTTTTGAGACAGAGTTTTACTTTGTTGCCCTGGCTAGAGTGCTGTGGTGTCAGCCTAGCTCACAGCAACTCCTGGGCTCAAGCGATCTTTCTGCCTCAGCCTCCAGAGTAGTTGGGACTACAGGCAGGTGCCACCATGCCCGGCTAATTTTTTCTATTTTTGGTAGAGATGGTCGGGGTCTCGCTCTTGCTCAGGCTGGTCTCAGACTCCTGAGTTCAAAGTATCTGCCCGCCTTGGCCTCCTAGAGTGCCAGGAATATAGGCGTGAGCCACCACGCCCAGCCTTAATGAGTCTTAAGTGACATGGAAAGCACACACGATGGAGGCATTAGAAGGACTCAAACATTAGCCATTATTATTTTTTTTAAAGGCTGGTCAAGTGGAGCAGTGGGAGTGGAGAAGGAACAAAGGAATCTGTAACTGGTTGTGATCAATTAGTTGTAAACACCACTGACTCGGACCAACCTAGCTAGCCATTATTATTATTAAGCATTTATCAAGGGCCTACTGTGTGCCAGGAGCCAGAAAGCACCAAGGCCATTGTGCAGAGAAAGACCTTCCCAGGAAGAAGTCACACTCCAAAGTTTCCCAATTTCCCGTGCCATGACTTGTTTTTTTGGCAGGACCTGGACCACTTTCAGCTCTTGAGCAAGGCTTAGGAGAAAGGAGACTTGAGGGAAGACTTGGGCCCTCAGGACCACCCCCTGCTTCTCTACAGTGGGGTCTGGGGCTGGCATGGGGCCTTTGGTGCATTCTCCATCTTCCAGCTTGGCTACTAAGAGGGGCTGAAGGGCTCCAGGGCTGGAGAGTTGGTGCAGTACCCGCTGTCTGTCGGAGTCCTGGTGCCTTGGTTCCTGAGGAGACAGCCCCACCTGCTGGGGGTTATGTGCCTTCAGGCTTGACCTGGGCTGAGTCTGCAATGGGGACCTGAGATGCAGGCTGACTTAGCTGGGTGGACATGCAGGGGATAGCATGTGGCCATGGCCATTGAGGTTTATGGGATGGGAGTGGGCAGTGGTCAAGATGCTGTTCGGGGCCGGGTGCAGTGGCTCACGGCCTGCAATCCTAGCTCTCTGGGAGGCCGAGGCGGGCGGATTGCTCGAGGTCAGGAGTTCGAAACCAGCCTGAGCAAGAGCGAGACCCCATCTCTACTATAAATAGAAATAAATTAATTGGCCAACTAATATATATAGAAAAAATTAGACGGGCATGGTGGCACATGCCTGTAGTCCCAGCTACTCAGGAGGCTGAGGCAGTAGGATCACTTGAGCCCAGGAGATTGAGATTGCTGTGAGCTAGGCTGACGCCACAGCACTCACTCTAGCCTGGGCAACAAAGTGAGACTCTGTCTCAAAAAAACAAAAACAAAAACAAAGATGCTGTTCGGGATGGACGTGTGAGCTACTAGTTACATGAACATGGTGGTGTGTGAGAAGCATGTGACATTGGGTGTGTGCTGTGGGGGGCATTGTGTGTGAAGTGTGGCATGGGATGTATGTGTGAGTGGCAGAGGGTTATGCAGTTGGGGGCAAAATGGAAGGCGTGAAGTAATGAAGGGGTGTTTGGGTTGTGTGTCATGCAGGAGTTGCAAATACCATGGATACGTGGAAGGTAAGTGGTTTCTGAGGTGCATGATACTATTTGTGTGAAGTGTTGGTGAGTGTGTTAGAGAACCTTAATTAAAAAACAAAATTCTGGGCTGGGCGCAGTGGCTCACGCCTGTAATCCTAGCACTCTGGGAGGCCGAAGCAGGAGGATCACTCAAGATCAGGAGTTTGAAACCAGCCTAAGAAAGATCGAGACCCCATCTCTACTAAAAATAGAAAGAAATTAATTGGCCAACTAAAAATATGTAAAAAAATTAGCTGGGCATGGTGGCGCATGCCTGTAGTCCCAGCTACTCGGGAGGCTGAGACAGAAGGATTGCATGAGCCCAGGAGTTTGAGGTTGCTGTGAGCTAGGCTGATGCCATGGCACTCTAGCCTGGGCAAAAGAGTGAGACTCTGTCTCAAAAAATAAAATATAAAATAAAATAAAATAAAATAAAATAAAATCTCTGGCCAGGCTATGGTGGTTCACGATGGTACTCCCAGCACTGTTGGAGGCTGAGGTTGGAGGATCACTTGAGCCCAGGAGTTTGAGGTTGCTGTGAGCTAGGCTGATGCCATGGCACTCTAGCCTGGGCAAAAGAGTGAGACTCTGTCTCAAAAAATAAAATAAAATAAAATAAAATAAAATAAAATAAAATAAAATAAAATCTCTGGCCAGGCTATGGTGGTTCACGATGGTACTCCCAGCACTGTTGGAGGCTGAGGTTGGAGGATCACTTAAGCCCAGGAGTTCAAGGCTGCAGTGAGCTATGATTATGACTGCGCCACTGCACTCTAGGCAGGGTGATGGAGCAAGACCCTGTCACAAAAAAAGCAAAAAAAACCCCAAAATCTTCTGACCCATAAAGATAGTAGAGACAGAGAAGGTTTTTTGTTTTTTTTTTTCTTTCTTTTTTTTTTTTTTTGAGACAGAGTCTTGCTTTGTTGCCCAGCTAAGTGATGCCGTGGCGTCAGCCTAGCTCACAGCAACCTCAAACTCCTGGGGCTCGAGTGATCCTTCTTCCTCAGCCTCCCGGGTAGCTGGGACTACAGGCATGCGCCACCATGCCCGGCTAATTTTTTTATAATATATATATCAGTGGCCAATTAATTCTTATTTATAGTAGAGACGGGGTCTCGCTCTTGGTCAGGCTGGTTTTGAACTCCTGACCTTGAGCAATCCGCCCGCTCGGCCTCCCAAGAGCTAGGATTACAGGCGTGAGCCACAGCGCCCGGCCTGTTTTTGTTTTTTTAATTCAAGAAAAAGAATCTTGCTCTGTCACCCAGGCTGGAGTTCAGTGGTACAATCATAGTTCATTGCAGCCTCTAACTCCTGGGCTCAAGCAATCCTCCTGCCTCAGCCTCTTGAGTTAGCTGGGAACACAGGTGCAGGCCATCGCAGCCAGCTAATTTTTCTATTTTTGTAGGAACGAAATCTGGCTGTGTTGCTAAAGCTGGTCTCCGGCTCCTCGCCTTAGGCGAGGCCTCAGCCTCTCAAAGTGGTAGAATCATAGGCATAAACCACTGTGCCTGATCCCGGCAAATTTAAAAAAAAAATTTGTGATGGGTCTGAATACACATTAAAAAAAATATATATATATATATTTTTTTTTTTTTAAATAGAGACAGAATCTGGCTATATTACCCAGGCTAGTCTTTTTTTTTTTGAGACAGAGTCTCACTTTGTTGCCCAGGCTAGACTTGAGTGCCGTAGCGTCAGCCTCGCTCACAGCAACCTCAAACTCCTGGGCTCAGGCAATCCTCCTGCCTCAGCCTCCCGAGGAGCTGGGACTACAGGCATGCGCCACCATGTCCAGCTAATTTTTCTATATATTTTTAGTTGTCCAATTAATTTCTTTCTATTTTTAGTAGAGACGGGGTCTCGCTCTTGCTCAGGCTGGCGACAGAGAGAGAGACCCTGTCTCAAAAAAAAAAAATAGTTTTTGGAGTGCGAGTGTACGTTGTGGGAGCGTGTTCTATGGGTGTTCATTGTGTTGACTTGAAATATATTCGCAGGAGATGTCTGGGATGAGGGAGGATTTACATGTGCAAGAGTGTGCGTGGTGTTTGAGTGGAATTACTCACCCATTATGCGGCGGGGCGGACAATACTGGCGATACCCGCGAAGCCTCAGGCCTCATTCTAGGGTTCGTAAAACAATTCCCATTTCGCTTTCCTGGTTTCCAGAGCCTTAGGGATTGAGGACTACAATTCCCAGGATGCTCCGTTCCTCCACCAACCGGGAAGACGGGTCTCCTAAATGGGCGGATCCACGAGAGGGTCGTCAGACGTGAGGAATTCTAGCCAATGGGTGAGCCGGATCGCATCGGAAGCTACGCTGATTGCGCCGAGGTGATTGGAATCTTTGGCGCCTTGGTTTCAGTGGTGGATGCGTGATGAGCAGGTACACTGTCCAATGAAAAGGCCAAAGGGCGGATCTAGAGTATGTGGGCGGGAAGAGGTGCTGACTAGCAGGCTGTTCACCCAATGAAAGGCGGAAGTTGCTGGAGGGGGTCGACCAAGGGGAGTAGAGGAGGGCGTGCGCGGCGGCAGAGCTTGTGTTATGGCGGAGCCGGTGAGGAAGCGGGGCCCGCGGTCCCGAGGTGGCGGCGTCGGCCGAGGGGCTCGGGGGGCCCGGGGCCGGCGTCCTCGCGCCCAGCGGTCTCCAGCTCGGCGTACTCCGGATTCTGTGTTTGTGGACTTGGTCAGCGACAGCGATGATGATATCCTGGAGGTCGTAACTGCGCGCGGTGCCGCAGACCTGGTTGAGGTTCCGCCCCCGGAGCCCCCAGTGCCGGCCGCTCCCCGGGACGACAGCGACAGTGACAGTGAAGGGGCGGACGCACAGCCCGCAGGACCCCCGCGGGAACTGGTCAGGCGGCGGCGGCGGCTGCTGTTGGATCCAGGGGAGGCACCGGTGGTTCCAGTCTACTCCGGGAAGGTACAGCCAGGTCCCCGGGGAGGGCTAGCGTGGAAGGGCTGAAGGGCTTGGGCGACCAGAAAGGGGACGGGGGATCGGGGGAGGGGCTGGATTTAGGGAATGTTGAGGCTGGGGTTCTGGGGCTGGTTTTGTGGAGCTACACGGAAGCCAGGGGCTAGGGTGTTGGAGGCAGAGAGATGCAGGGCTCCTGGAGTTTCTGCAGACTAGGGAGGTGAAGGATTTTGGGGTATGTTATGAGTCTGGGTTGTGTTGCAAATTTGGAATTCCTGGGAGCTATAGTCTTGGGGGCATAGGGTGGCTTGAGGGGCGGGGGTCTCTGATGGTTCAGAGAGGACTTGGGACTGGGATGTGGGGCGGGTTGGATTTTGAGGTTGGGACCCATTGCTAAGGAAGCCCGGGAGCCAGTGTATTGGGGGCTGGGGCCTATGGGGGTTCAGAGAGGACTAGGGGGCTCCAGGAGGCTGGGGTACCAAGATAGTAGGGTGAGCTAGGGACCTGAGACTCCCTAAGAGTCTAGGGTAGAGAAAAGGCTAGCAACATAGTTAAAAAGGAGAACTAAACCTGCCTTTTCAGAATGCCTTAGTGCAAGGTGGTGGATCCTGGGGAAGCTGGACTCCAGGGGCCCCAGGACAGGACCGTGGAGTCTATGTCCTTAGGCGGGGACTTGGGACCTGAGTGTCAGGGAAGAATCATCCCCAGTTTTCCCCTTCCTTAGAGGGAGGACTTGGGACTGACCCTCCCACTTTTTGCTTTTGCAGGTGAAGAGCAGCCTCCACCTCATCCCAGATCACCTATCCCTCCTGAAACTTTATCCTCCTGGGGCTGAGGAAGGTAAGGGAAGGCTTCCAGGGAGAGGCACCCAGTGCTGGCTTCTCTGAGGAGACTTCCTGGAGTTTATATCCCTGCAGTCAGTTGTCTCCTGAGGCTCAGGGGAAGGGCATGGGAGAGGGGACTCCTCCATCTTCGCCAGGAAAAGGTTCCAGAAGGAAAAGGAGCTGAATTGTTAACCAGAAGGCACAAGAGCCAACATAGGAAGTTATGTCAAATCACCCTCCTGCCTACTCTTAAGGCATAAGAATGTGTTAAAATACACAAATTTTCTGGTGCCACCACCAGAGATCCTGATTCTGTAATCCTGGGAGCCACAGAATGGGGAGGTGTTGGGAATCTGTGATATCTTGTTACCTCTGCAACAAGGTCTTTGAGAATATTTAGAGTCAGCAGGGTGTTCTTTGAATCTTATCAGGGCTGCCTAGTCTTTGTCCTCCACCACTGATGTCATTTTTGCAAACCACTCAAGGTCAGGGAATAAGAATCAAGTCTAATGAGGAAGTAATCCAGTGGGCAAAGGCAGAACTTAGACTAAGACTTCTGTAGCATTAAAGGAGTATGGTCAAATGATTAAGAGCAGACTTAGGAGCCCTCTGGCCTGGGTTTGAATCCCAACTGTGTCTACTCAATAGCTGTATGACCTTGGACAAATTACTTAATCTCACAATACTCCAATTTCCTCATCGGGAAAGTAGCGTTAATAGTGGGTGCATGTCAGAGGATTTGGGTGAGAATTAATTAAAGGGACTATATGGAGAGCCATCTCTTGCTATGTATATGGTTTAGGACAGTACCTGGAATGTAGAAGTGCTATGTGAAAATTACCTCTATCCTTGCTACTCAAAATGTGGGCCCAGCAGTATTGGCTGTCTCCTGGGAGCTTGTTAGAAATGTAGACTCTCAGGACTCTGGCAGCTGCCATATTTAGCAAGGACAAAATTTTTCAAACTCAGCATTACTGAGGTTTTGGACTAGAAAATTCTTTGGTGTTGGTTGCTGTCCAAAGAAAGTTTAGCAGCATCCTAACCTCTATCCACTAGATGCCAGTAGAACACCCAAAGCTCCTCCCTCTCTGCGTTGTGACACCCAAAATTGTCTCTGGACATTGCAACATGTTCCCCTGGAGGCAAGATTGCCCTTGGTGAGAACCACTGATCTAGAGTTTATTATCATTGTTTATTTTCATGGTATTTATGTTTATGATGATCTTTTATTAGTGGCAAGCAAATAAAAATATATTCTAGGTAATACCTGGTTTCCTTTTATAAGAAATTTAAGTTTAAAAGAGTGATTTAAAGAAAGATTTTTTTTTTGAGACAGAGTCTCACTTTGTTGCCTGGGCTAGAGTGCTGTGGCATTAGCCTAGCTCACAGCAACCTCAAACTCCTGGGCTCAAGCAATCCTCCTGCCTCAGCCTCCCGGGTAGCTAGGACTACAGGCACTCGCCACTATGCCCAGCTAATTTTTTCTATGTATATATTTTTTTTAGTTGGCCAATTCATTTCTTTCTATTTTTTATAGTAGAGATGGGGTCTCGCTCTTGCTCAGGCTGGTTTTGAACTCCTGACCTTGATCGATCCACCTGCCTCAGCCTCCCAGAGTGCTAGGATTACAGGCGTGAGCCACCATGCCTGGCCTAAAGAAAGATATTAAGCAAATAACAGTCATGCCCCTCGAGTCCTTTCCCACCATTTTGTGTGTGTTGGAGGCTTCACAGTCCCTTCCTTTCTGGGACCTTCTTGAAGCCTCCAACTTGTTTCTCCTTGGCCTCCCCCTTCCCTCATGGCTAACCCTCTTCCACTTTCTCCTTTTCTGCCCCCAGAGGTAGACATGGAAGAATCTAGCAGCCCCCACCCTGAGGATCCCCCATTTCCAGGCTCTCCCTGGAAGAAGAAACTGAGGAGTAAGGATGAAGAAGAAGAGAAGAAAAAGGTGTTTCTGTGAGTGAGGCCAGGGTACTTGGGCCCTGGGAGCAGGAAGGGAGTTGGAGGGGTAAGCTGAGGAAGGCAGGACCCTTGGGTGGCTCCTGAAAGAATAAGAAGGGATGAAAGGAGTTTTGACACTCAGGTAGAGAATGAAGCTCTTTTTTTTTTTTTTGAAACAGAGTCTTGGCTGGTGCGGTGGCTCACGCCTGTAATCCTAGCACTCTGGGAGGCCGAGGCGGGAGGATCGCTCAAGGTCAGGAGTTCGAAACCAGCCTGAGCAAGAGCGAGACCCCGTCTCTACTAAAAATAGAAAGAAATTAATTGGCCACCTAACATATATAGAAAAAATCAGCCGGGCATGGAGGCGCATGCCTGTAGTCCCAGCTACTCAGGAGGCTGAGGCAATAGGATCGCTTGAGCCCAGGAGTTTGAGGTTGCTGTGAGCTAGGCTGACACCACGGCACTCACTCTAGCTTGGGCAACAAAGCGAGACTCTGTCTCAAATTAAAATAATAAAAAAATAAAAAATATATATTAAAAAATAAAAATATACATAAAAAAGAAACAGAGTCTCACTTTGTCACTACAGGCATGCGCCACCATGCCCGGCTGATTTTAGTTGGCCAATTAATTTCTTTCTATTTTTAGTAGAGACAGGGTCTCGCTCTTGCTCAGGCTGGTTTCAAACTCCTGACCTCGAGCGATCCGCCTACCTTGGCCTCCCCAAGTGCTAGGATTACAGGTGTGAGCCACCGCGCCCGGCTGAGAATGATGCTCTTGAAAGAAGAGGTAGCCCCACACTGGGGATGACAGAGGACCCTTCAGCACCACCCACATGAGTGGAGTCTGAGATGCTAGTACTACAGGTTAAGGGTGTGGTTCCAACCCAGATAGCTGTTTCTTCCCTGTCCTTCTGGGCTTCTCTTTCCTCTTCTGTAAAATGGGGATAATAGTGGCACCTATTGCTGAGTGTCTAAGAATTGCTAAGTAGATCAAAAATTAACACTTGACATATTAATACAATAAGTATTCACTGGCCAGGTGTGGCAGCTCATGCCTATCATCCTAGCACTCTGGGAGGCCGAGGCGGGAGGATTGCTTGAGGCCAGGAGTTTGAGACCAGCCTGAGTAAGAGCAAGACCCCTGTGTCTACAAAAGATAGAAAAATTAGCTGGGCATGGTGGCGCATGCCTGTAGTCCCTGCTACTTGGGAAGCCGAGGTAGGAGGATCGCTTGAGCCTAGGAGTTTGAGGCTGCAGTGAGCTATGATGACACCATTGCACTCTAGCTTGGGTGATAGAGTGAGATCCTGTCTCAAAAAAAAAAGCAACAACAGTCAGTGCTCACTGGATGTTACTGAACACTCACCTAGCAAGTGACTTATCTTAAGAGTGAGGCATTTTCCTCCCTCATATTTGGGTCATGTAAACATAAAAATGATGTCTCAGGCTTTCCCTGTTCCTTACCTACCTTATCTTCCAGTAAGATGGATGTTACCCAAAGGTGCCCCCTCTTGATTCTGTCTGACGCTCTGGTTCCTAGG